TCTTTCACTGTTCATCTTTTTTATCTTCTCTTTCTTAGGTAAGTCCCTTTAATATTTCATATAATAAGAGCTTGGTGATGATGAACTCCTTGAATTTGATCTTATCTGAGAAGCACTTTATCTGTCCTTTCATTCTAAATGAAAGTTTTGCTGGATAGAGCAATCTTGGTTGTAGGTCTTTGGATTTCATGACTTGGAATACTTCTTTCCAGCCCCTTCTTGCCTGTAAGGTCTCTTTTGAGAAATCTGCTGACAGTCTGATGGGAACTCCTTTGTAGGTGACTGTCCCCTTAGCTCTTGCTGCTTCTAGGATTCTCTCCTTCATTTGAATCTTGGCTAATGTAATGATGATGTGCCTTGGTGTGTTCCTTCTTGGGTCCAACTTCTTTGGGACTCTCTGAGCTTCCTGGATTTCCTGGAAGTCTATTTCCTTTGCCAGAATGGGGAAGTTCTCCTTAATTATTTATTCAAATAAGTTTTCCACTCATGGCTGTTTCTCTTCCCCTTCTGGTACCCCTATAATTCGGATGTTGAAGTGTTTAAAGATGTCCTGAAGGTTCTCTAAGCCTCTCCTCATTTTTTTGAATTCTTGTTTCTTCATATTTTCCTGTTTGGTCATTTTTTTCTTCCTTCTGGTTCACTCCCTTGATTTGAGGCCCAGTTTCCTTTCCATCACTATTGGTTTACTATGCATTTCCCTTGATTTCAATTAGTTCAGCCTTCATTTGTTTCTCTAATTTGTGACTATAATCAACCAGTTCTGTGAGCATCCTGATCACCAATGTTTTGAACTGTGCATCTGAAAGTTTTGCTATCTCTTCATTGCTTAGATTTATAGGCTCTGGGGCTTTGAGATCTTCTTGAGCCATTTTTGGTCCGTTCAAGCCTGTTACATATGAGGAGGGGAGCCTTAGGTGTTTACCAGGGCGAGGCTACCCAGGTTGCTGGGTTGTGATGCTGTATGTGGGGGCGGGGTTGGAGAGGGGCGATAGCAGTCCCCTCTGCTGCTTCCCGCCACTGGGGCCTGCTCAGTCTGTCTCACTGCTCGCTCCTTCGCTAGTTTATCTGCACGCAAATGTGTGACCACGGTCAGCTTGCCGCCTTTCGCCTTCACTGGTTCCGCTCATTGCCACCCCACACCTGGGATCCACACTTGGCTGCCTGCAAACCTGAGTTGGGGGATCTCTTTTGCCCGACCCCGCTCTGCTGCTGGCTCCACCCCCTTACGGATCTGGCTGAAGGGTTCGTTGTTGTCGGACTTTCATATAGTTCAATTTTCTGTGGTTTGGCTATGTTTTTTGTTGCTAAAGCTTTGTTGTTTTTACACTTGTTTGTGCAAGAAGGCACGGTTTTTTCACCTACGCCTCTATCTTGGCAGAAGTCCCCTGGCCATTATTTCTTCAAAAAATTTTTCAGCCCCCTTCCTTCTAAGACTAGCAATTGTACTTACATTAAGCAGTTTGACATTGTTCCACAGTTTACAGATTGTTCTTTTTATTTTCGTTTTTTTTCTTCTTATATTTAGTATTAAAGTTTCTAAACTAAATTTGCTCTGTGATTTAGGTCACTAATAATGTTTCTGAAGTTTCTAATTATTTGTTAATACAATCAGCACATTTTTATTCTGTCATTAACTCTAGAAGTTCAATTTTTGCATCTTTTGCATTTCTCCTTAATATACTTATGTTTATTTTTACCTTTTTGAACATATGGGATATAAATATAATACCTATTTTAACATTTTCCCCTACAAATTATATTATCTCTTTCACTTCTGCCATACAAGTACTAACCATTAGGTAGAGCTTGTACGTTCTCCAGCATTAGAAGAGTAGCCTAATGTACTGGGTGTTCTGCAGGGTCTAGTGGTACACTCTCCCCAATCACACAGGCTGGGTACTCAGGGTTTGCTCCCCCCATGTGGGCTGAGTACACTCTCCTGTTGTAGTTGAGACTTGATTGCTGTTAGTACATCTGTGTGAGGATTTGCCCCTAGACCATTAGGCTGCAAGGACTGGCTGTGACCACTAACCACTGACCACTGACCTCTGACTACCTTGGTGGATCAGCTGTTCAGGGGTCCACTCCACAAATCAAGACTTACTTCAGTGAGACTCTGATGCCTACTGAGTTTGTCTCCTAACTGGGTTGCTTGTAGAGGTGATTGTGTGATAGTGGCGCTTCAACATGTTGTGAAGATCACCGGGTGCACTGGCTCTGGGGCATCCCAGGAGATGTGGGCCAAGATTAGCCACTGCCTATATTCTGCCTGGGACCACCTGTTATGAGCTACAAAGCAATCTGCAGATGGCTGCTACTTGCACTGTGATTGGCGTTGCCCAACCAAGGCCAGGTGCTGTTAGTGCAGGACCTGGGGCCACTTAAGGAGAGGTATGGGGTACAGTAAAGCCAGACACTGCTTCATTGAGAGATTAGGAAAGCTGGCAGTGAAAACCAAAACAGGCCATTTATATGGTAAAGCCACTGGAAACAGCTTGGCTGGGCTCACAATTTGGGTGGGGCAGGGTCTCAGGGAATCGCCGAGGCTGAGTGAACAGTGCCAGTGCCAACCAGGTCAATGGAGTCTCAGATACAGCACCTGCCTGCTGGCTCTGTGAGTGGGGGAGCTAATCAAAACAACAGTGTCCTGTACCAGCACTTCTGTCTGGGAGAAAGCTGCCCCCTCAAGCTCTTGCCCTGGTGCCAGATAATTCAGTTCCTCCCCATATGCCTGTAGTGCCCTGTAGAAGCACTCTATCTCTCTCAGCCTCAATCCCCACTGGTTTTTACAACTAGAAGTTATGGGGACTTCTTTTTCTGGCACTGGAACCCTAGGATGGGGGCCTTTGTATGGAACTTGGACTCCTCTTCTCTCAGGGGGACTTCTTCAGTGAGATATCCCTCCCAATTTTTATCTGCCACACCTGGATGTGGGACCAGTCTGTTCCACATTTCTGCCCTGCCTACCAGTGTTTATGTGTCCTCTTCTTTAATTTCTTAGTTGTAGGACTTCCATTCAGTAAAATTCCAGGTGGTTTTGGATGATGGTTGTTCTGTGGTTAGTTGTCATTTTAATGTTTTTAAGTCTTAATTTTAAGCTTTGATGAGCAAGTCCAAAGTACCCTTTAGTCTAGACATAATTTTCCTCACTATTGACTACATAAAACCCTGTGAGCACTCTAGCCCATAGTAATGAATTACCAGGTTTTTCTACTTTGGTGGTAGGCCAATTGAATTGTTTCTGGTCCATAGATCTAGAAATTGTTTCTTGTGTTCATTTTGAATGATTCTTTGGGTCTCTACTTCAAGAACCACTGCCATGTAGCATTTACTCATGCACAATTAAAAGAGCTATTCAAACTTTAATCATGTGACTTATAAGATCCAATAAATGACAGGGGGTTGAGAATAAAAATGAGCATAATGCTTATAACAGAAAATTATCTTTAAAAACCAATTTCTGACATTTAAAAACCAATGTCAATGTCACTAAAAATAACACTGACATGAGTTAAATATCCCAACAGTTGTCATGTTAAAATTTCTTTAATTTGATGAGAAATATTTTGTCCCCTGTTGTGTGAAGAGACAATTTCACATAGTACTGACTATGTACACTGCCCATCTCTCTGATATTGTTAGCAACAACCATTCTGCTCATCCAACTGCTCCAAAGCTTCAAGCAAGGGGGGTAGATTATGCAAATAGCAAATTCTAAAAATATAATAAACTCAGTAGTGGATTTTGCATTAATTGGTAAAGTGTATCCCAATTTGATAATGTAACATAGTATCCCATACAGGTTCACTTATTTGATTCTATAAAAACAGGACTCAGTTTAAGGTAAGAATTCTTTTTGAAAAAAATTAATTTATTTTTAGAGAGGGGAAGGGAAGGAGAAAGAGAGGGAGGGAAACATCAATGTGTGGTTGCCTCACACACCTCCCACTGGGGACCTGACCTGCAATCCAGGCATGTGCCCTGACTGGGATTTGACCCAGTGACTCTTTGGTTCTCAGGCTGGTGCTCAATCCACTGAACCACATCAGCCAGGGATAAGATAGGAGTTCTTAACTAGGTAGGATATATGAATATATTTCAGTCTCTGAGAACCCTCTGAAATGGTAAAATTTTCTGTGCATGTTCATGTATTTTTATATGGAGAGTGTTCATAGCCTTGCTTAGATTTTTCAAAGGAGTCCATGACGAAAATAAAGCTAGGGTCCCTGGTTTAAGGCAACCTCAAATGAGTTCAACAACATCCCTATCTGCCTTTCTTTCTAGTACCCCCCTTTTCTTTTTTGACAATAGTGTGTGGAAAGATGATAACACATGGAAATGAAAATTATTATCATGAAGAAGTAGATTTAAAAGCTAGATTGTGTAGCAATACAAAGATTCCAAGGGGAATATAGTCAATAAGAGTGTGATAACTGCGCATGGTGGCAGATGGTTACTAGACTTAGTGTGGTGATCATATTGTAAGATATGAAATGTTAAACTACTATGTTGTACACTTGAAACTAATATGATGTTGTATGCCAACTACACTTTAATAAAAACAACACGAGATACCACCCATCAGGATGGCTGTAATAAGACAAATATTTTTTAAATGTTTGCAAAGGTGTGGAAAGATCAGAATCCTCATACACTGCTTAGTGTAAAATAATGCTTCTGCTTTAGAAAACAGTTTGGCAGTTCGTCAAATAGTTGAACATAGAGTGATATGATCCAATAATCCCATAACTAGGTATACACCCCAGAGAAATAAAAGCATATATCCCCAAATATGTTGTTTTATTTATCATCTAGGATTGTAGTGTCTACACCCTTTGACAATAGTCATATAAATGCAAAGTTGTTTCTGAAAACTTTGGCTGAACTGAGGTCATCCAAAACTTTCAGGTAAATAAAATGTAGAAAACTTAATATGTTCATGACAAATGAAAACATTTAAACATAACATTTAGAAATAAATGTTCCATGTGGTTCTGGTAAGATAATTAAACAGAGGCAGCTGTAGAAATGCAAATCTGAAGTTGTCTCTAGATCAGTCAACTAAAAAGACATAGAAGAGTTAAATTAATTTTACCCTCAACAGCATTACAATTTTAATAGATTGAAAATAGAAAGCTTCAAATTTTAGGGTAAATTATAACCAAGTGGGAAGGGGGTTAAAATGTCAATGTTTTCTATCTCATCTTGGCTTATGACCCCCTCTATCGCCCCTTGATATTTTACATCTCACAGAACTTTCAAGTCTCAACACCCAGTATCCCTGGCACACAGATTCTTGTGATTCAGAAACAACTTCAGATTTGCATTTGATTGGGCCCTGCAGAACCACATTAATAAGTATTTTCTAACTGTCCAAGGTAATTTATGAATGGTATGACAGTGGATTGATAAGTATAATGTAATTACAATTTTTGACTAATTAGTAATCTGCATTCTTTAATGTTCTAAGAATAAAACTTTCCCCTCCATATACAGAGTCTTATTCAGCTGTTATAATCATGTAGTCATTGAACAGGACTGGACATGAGACAATACAGGCCCTGGGGGGGTCTGGGGTGATCTGCCCAAGCTCCCTCCTGGGACTTCCAGATGCACCAGGGAGCAGCCAGTGTGCTCACTGGAGTTCTTTGAGTTTTCTCAGGTCAAAGGTTATAGCCACAGTGTGTTCAGGGGACATACTGCAGCCTCTTGGCCCAGGGTCCCTTACAACAAGTAATGCCCAGGACTGGGAAGAGATCTTGGGGTCTCTACGGTGTTCTTGGAATGTCCTTGCTGCCCTGTCAAACACAGATGGACATTTTTACAATAATACCCCAAAGTATTAGTCTCAAGAGTCACCAAAATCTCAGGCAGGGGCACCCTACAAAATCAAACTGCTATATTTATCCCAAAACTAGTTTTTATGGCACTTTAAATAACTTACAAAAAAGCTATAAAAGTCATATATACCAGGACACATGTGTTAAATAAGGGCACTGTTTCCCGTTAGTGCACATATGTACAGGGTGGTTATGGTGGCTCCCGGAACAACAAAACTTTTGCTTTCTATAGTGATTGTATTTTGTTTTTATTGAAATTCTTTTTTTGTAGATTTGCTTATTTATTTAAGTATAGTTGACATAAAATATTGTACTTGTTACAGGTGTATGACACAGTGATTCAACATCTCTATATCTTATGTGATTACCACACTGAGTCTAGTAACCATGTGTCACTATGCCAAGTTATCACACTACTATTGACTGTATCCCCCACTACCCTTTTCATCTACCTCTTTCTGCCTGGCAAACATCACTTTCTTTGTTTCAGTAGTTTGTTTTGTTTTGTTAATGTGTTTTGATTTTTTTAACTTCACAAATAAGTTGAATTATGTCTTTCTCTGACTTATTTGCATAGCACAGCTTCTGGGTCTATCCATATTGTTGCAAATGGCACTGAAGTGCAACAGCCAGATTTATTTTGGAGTTTACTAACATTGTCAGGACCTGGGTCTGATACTGTGCCAATTTGCAGAATTATTTTGAATATTTCCATTAAGGTTTATGAGAAAAATCTTTCAAAATCATAAACATATTCAAATACTTATTTAAAAGTTTGCTTAAAATGTGTTTTTAACTATCATATATTTTCCTCCTCTGCAGAGTTAGAAGTCTGTCTAAACATTGAAACATTATGCTACTCTGTGAGAGTATTTTAATATTCAAAGAGAAACTGACTAGTTTTTCAATGTCCTTGTATATGGTGAGAAAATTAATTTAAATTTTTTGCTTATAAAATATAGAAATGCATGTCAATATGTTCACACATTCCTGTAGAAATCATTGTATGTATATCTTTATATGTATAGTTTCCTTTTAAACATCAATATCTTGAATTTCCTTAGGAATGTCTACTCAAATAAGATTCTTATGTACATGTTGCTTCATTTATGCCTTTTTTTTATCTAGGAAAAAATAGTTGTCCTTTGTAAAAAATTTGAATTTTTTACATTGTGTTTGTAATATAAATTCAAACTGTTTGTGGGTGATGTATTGCAATAAATGAAATGGGATTTCAGCAGAGATGTTTGAGGTATTCACCTAGGACAAAGTACTTTTTTAAAATGAGCTTAACTGCAATAAAGGACTTCTTTCTGGTTTTGTGTTAAGCCTGACTTCTGTGGGTTGGCTTCTCTGACATTGATTCAAGTTCTCCATTATTATTTATTCCAGTCAACAACTTCCAAATTCAGCTTTTAATGCTGTGCATTTTTCAATGCTTTCTGCCTTCTTGTTGGCTAATTGAGGGGGATATTCTTTATGCTTTCTGATAAGGAATTTTTATGCAAATGGTACATCTATTGAGGAGAACTTTATTTGGGGCTTATTTAATGAGGGTCTCTTCACATATTTCTCTAACTGTAATGTGTAATTTAAGAGAAAGTGGACCTGTGTGGTCTTTTCTCAGAATCATTGTATTATTTTTTCAGGTGATATGCATCTGGAGAGCAATAAACATAGTCTTAATTGTATTAAAAAACTGAACCGAGTTCATATCATGCGTAGGTACATGAGTTCTTTCTTTTTCTTTTTACTTATAACAGTAACAGAGGTAACAGCAAAAGATGTGTGAGGCTGAGCAGAGACTTAACATAATCCAGTGCCATTAGACTAGTCAGTTTTCTGTCTAAAATCCATTGCTGCTAATTTCCCAAGTTATATCCATGTTGGATCATAAGAGAAATACTGAGCATGGGATGGGAGATGTGCTTGGAAAATGAGAAGTTATAGAGGAGTCTACATACCAAACATAACAATCAACCTGGGAGTTAATAAAATCTGCTATAACCTCATGAAATAAAATGTATAGAAACTTCTATCAAAGTGGTCTGAAATATTAGGCTTTGCCAACATTATTTAACAAAAGCACAATACATAAAAGAAACAACAATTTTATGCATATACTTTTAATAAAGAACATAGGAAGATAAGGCTGATTAGTATTTGTGGGTATTTCTCTAGCAAGACACAGGGTTTTAAGAATACCATATATAATTACTCTGAGCAGACTGGAGGGAAAAAGGACTTGTAGCAAATTGGCAACTTGAGCTTACTTGCTCAGGTCCCCAGGGCCTTTCTTTCTCCGGATCTCCAATACATTTCATATATTACCAAGACCCAGTATTGGTTTTTCTGCTGTGTCTCTTTGCTGATTTAGCCAGCAGAGTGACAGCAATTATTCCTTGACTGCATCTTATTGTTATTTTCCTCTTCTTTAACACCAGTCCCTACTTAGAATGTATTTCCTGATATACAACATTCATTGCCTGTTTTAACTCATTGTGCTGATGGCCATATACCAGGCTTGTACAAAGAACACATGTAATACTTTTGAACACTGTGTGGGACACAACCTTATTTGTTTTGGGGTAGTAAACATTCATGGGTTGCATGCTATTAGGAGCCACCCATTCATTATTATATTACATAACACCTGCATGCAAAAAATTACAATTTAATATGGCACATTACAGCTATAGTTAAAGAAATGTAGATGTACCATACTCAATAAAACATTTTCTACTGATTGGATGGAATTTATCAATTTTCTACTAACATGGGACTTCAGAAGAGTTGAACAATCTTATTATTTGCTTTCTATGGCTGAAAGAAACACAGAACATGTCTTTTGAACCAAATGAGTAGTTTAGCTACTATGGAAGCAGAGGTTCTAGAATGTATAAATGGAATGTTTTTCACTTGCAGTGACTGTTGGACGTTTTTCTAGGAGAGGACAGAGAATTATTCCTTTAAAGTATCTGCTTCTCATCACCAGGCAGCCCATTTTGGAGATAGTGTGATGAGAAGGGAAAGGGATTGGCTCTGCATTACTGTTCCATTACTGTGAATTTGGGTCATGTTAAATTTCAGGTGCACTTTACAATATGTGCATTCAATATTCTTAAAACATACCTGCTAGGGTTGTGCTTAAGTCTCCATTTACTGCAATGTCTACATTTTGTGCAATTTGGCATAAACATGGGGAAGCACATTAATTTCACTGACAAAGTCAGCCCTGAGATTTGGCTCTATGGGTTTCCAGAGGAGATAATGACTGGCTGATGCCATGTAGTATGAAATGTATGTGTCACATGGGGCCAGTGGGGTAAAGAGGCACATATTACATTTATGTCACATAGAGAAAAAGAGTTGCATAAAATGCATGCTTTCAGATTATAGACAAAGTAGGACTCTTCTGAAATGTGATCTTGGCCTAATTTCTCTCACTGTTCTAAGCTGCTGCATGGTAATTGCAGTACTAAGAAGCCAAGTCGCTCTAACAGTACACTGGAAATTGTTTTGTTCCAGACAGCTAGGTGCCTCTGGAGGGCATTTCATTTATTTGGCCTTAATTTTTCTACCTGTACCATACGGAAATAATTTCTACTCTGTCTATTTCTAAGAACATTGTTGGAATTAATGGAAAACATTAATAAAGTACCCTAATCTCTGAAAGAACAAATCAGCAATGAGAACATGGAAGAATGGAGAGTGCTGGTTTACATAGAAATACTGTTATGGTTAAACTCTTCATTCTAATCCTGCAATAATACATATAAGAGCACTAAAGATTACATAGCACCTTTTAGCTGTGGGATCCTAATGAGTGTTCTCATGTTGCAAATGGGGAAGAATGGGCACCAAATATTGGGGAATGAGATCCCACAGAGGTTATTGGACAGGGCTGCAAGGAAGAGCAGGCAAAGGAGCCAAAGCAGGCAAAGGATATGCTAATTAAACAAATCTCTCTGTTGTTTCAATAATGAACCAATTGGAGGAATGCTTATGTATGTAGTCAATACTCAATCTATGGATATTATCAGTGTATAAACTACTGAGATCAAGGTGCTGAGACAGGAATAAGGTTTCTTTATTTCACTAAGCCCCCAGTAAAAACACTGATTTATTTGGCCTTTTGAAGACTGTAAATCTGTCGGCTTTGCATTTTACCTTTCCTGAGCTTTATGACCTGATTTCTATGAGTGCTAATAGACTCTATGCATCAAAGAAGATCTTGCTTCCTTTCTGGCTTTGAATTATAGTTAACAGCTACTCTGCCTAAACCCTTGGCAGAAGATGACACATGGAAAAGAGAAAGGCTTTCTTTGAGGCCCACTGGCTATGAAGTAATAGGCCTACCTTTAAAGGTACATTTGTATACAAATAGAAGGCAAGTCTTGTCCATCATAAGGCCATGTGGATGGCCAAATAAGCTTTCAAGAGAAACCTAAACAAAGGAGTGTCTTGGAGGGAGAGAGGAAGGGGAAAACTATTCCCATCTGAATATACAGAATTTCATTGGGAAATCCAGTATGCATAGTCTTCTAGGCTGCTTCTTAGCATCTGAGTTTGAGAAACAGCCCCTGGCCCTGATATATTTAGTCATGTCTACTATTCCCTCAAGTGATATGCTGGCCACGATCAATTTAACTTATAATAAAAATCTTATCTTGACTAAAATTACCTAGAGAATCCAAATAAACAAGTCTTTTGTTGCTTTAAATAGTTGGGTTGCTCACTTTCTCAGCTCCACTGGAGCCTGAACACTGAGTTGATTGTGGCAGGCAACTCTTTCTACTCAGTAAGGTTTGAGGGAAAATAATTTAGTAAACCTAATATTCCTCCAGGAGCTCAACTCCTTGATATTTGGAAGATGCCTGTAACACTGATTGATCTCTGGAAGAGCTGGGATTTCTATGGTCAAGAGCTGGGCACTAGAGCACTGACTGGGAAACAAACATCATTAATACTGTTAGGTATTATTATAAAGAAGCAGTATTAGTGTCCATACTCATTAATTTAGGTACTGGTACTAAAAGAATGGATGATTATAAATTAATGGGGAAATGAATGTAAACTATCTCATGGCTGAGATATCACTGAAACTAAAAAAACAAGAAACAAAGAAAAACAAAGGATTGTCATATTACTATTAGATTATCACTATCTGTACACTAAAGCTTGCTGTGAAAACACAGATCTTTAATGCTAACCCTTAGGCCAATTTCAATTGTAAAATTTTATCCTGATGAATAATAGTATTGTAATTAAACCCCAAAATTACCATTAACCTCCTTAACAAAATCAATGGCCCATAACCTATGCTTATAGTTTTTCTTCACCATAACAATAACTCATAAAAGCTAAAATAAAGCTAGGTAGCAGAAAAAAAGAATAAAAGTAATTAGAGAATTTTACCACAGGCTGGTATTACAAGTGTATATAAAACACTAATTGTTATATTTAATAAACTAGAAATCTGATTTGATCTGATCTTCCCAACTAGCTGTGGTACTTTCAGGAATACCACACATCTATGACAGACATCAGGTTTTACATTTACATTGCTGTTCAGTTCCCAATTTGAGGACCCTGATCGCAGTGTGTCAAATCTCTCTTGGGGAGTTTTAGGGACCTGATATAGGGATGATGTTCACAGTTCAGCATATATTTAAATTGCTATTTAAAAAAATATTGAATAAACACCACGGAGTTTTTAAACTTGATTTTCACAATACCATAGCAGAATTTTGTGTAAATGTACTACATATGTGCATGCTTGTCAATGCACATGCATACAAGCAGCAAATGTAGTCTGCAGTCTGATTCCCCTCAGTTCCACAAAGACACTATAGATATGATTAATAGACTTTCCAGGGGAGTTAAAGACACCGAGAAAGTCTTTTGAATTCTTCTTTGCCACGTAAGAAGAATGAAAATAGCCTCTAGAAAGATTTATATGCATTTAGGCTTTCACAGATTGAGGTGGGGTAGGGGTGGAGAGAAGAAGACTGGATGGTATTAACTGCTACCAGATTGATGAATTCAGTCAGTAAATTAAATGACTTGTAAAGTTCCAAAACACCTATTTTCACAGCAAGTATTTGACAAAATGCTTTCATGTAGTGAAGCTTTCAATCCTCCATGGTGACTTATTTTGAAGATTAGGATGGGTCCCAACATTGAACTCTGTAAACTTCATAGGAGATAGATGATCCTATGAATAAAAACAGAAATTCACAGGTGAGCTGAACAACTTAAACATACACATGGCAACATCCACTGACAATAACGTGCAACTGTTACATGTCTATAAAGAATATGGGTCAGCATTAAAAATGTTAAGTAATAAAAGCAGAATGCAAAATTACATATGCAACATTACAGTTATTTTTAACCTAGTAATTGTATCTGGAACAAAGACCTGAGGAATACATTAAATTGTTGTAAGTGGTGAATTCATGGGTAATTTATTTTTATTTTTTCTACTATCTATTTGTATTTTCCACATTTTATCCAGTAAGTATATAATAATATCATCATGCAAAAACAATTTATATTTTAATATTCACATGGAAATAACATGAGCTTTGAAATTAGGCAATTCTGAATTTGAATTCTAGCTTTGCTACCTGTTGTCTCTTTGACTCTAGACAAATAATATCAGTGGACCGTAGTGTCTTCATCTGTAAATAAGGCATAATAAAATCTATCTAAAATGATATTTGGCACATAGTGGGTACTCAGGTAGCTGTTATTAGTATAAGTTTTTGGAAAACAATTTGGTGTGTATATTAAGAGTTGTTAAAAAGTTCATACCGGTAATTTTGCTTCTAAAATTTTATCCTAAGAAAATCATTATTAATTAGGAAAAAGATTTATGCCCAATGATATTATTGGCAGCCTTATTCATAATAGTGAAAATTAGATAAAATCTTAATGTTGAACAGCAGTGAATTGGTTAAGTAAACAACAGTGTCTTGATATAATGGAAAATTATTTTCAGCATTAGTTAAAAAAAGCAGAACTCAAAACTGAATACAATATGACCTCAATGTTTAAAAAAATATATTCATAGAAAATATTTGAGAGGATACAGCCAAATGTTAATGTAAGTAATCTTTCAGTGGTGGATTATGGGTGATTTTGATGTTATACATAGTTTTTTATCTTATCTGTTATAAATATGTTTAATGTACTTATAAAATGAATTCTAGGTCAGAGGAATGGTGGCATGAGAGGTCTTCTTGGTCTCTCCCCTTGAAGTTTCAACAATTTGAACAGCTATAACTCAACAAAGGATTCCTGGCTAATGCACAAACATGTCTGACAGATCCACTAATTGAAACATCTAAAGGTGGGCAAATGGGAGTGAACTGGGGTAGTGGGAAAGGAGAAAAACAGAGATGAACCACAGACACAGCCCTGCAGCCCAGCACTCACTGTGGGGCTCAGCCCGGAGAGGGGAGAAATCAGGTTGTGGAATGGCACTCCCTTCAGCCAGTAGGAGCAAAGAGATTTAGAGAGCATTCTTGCAGGAGTGGGCAGTACAAACTGCGGCTGAGCCCAGTGACCTGGGCAGAGAGGAAGCACAGAGGTATGGCGAATGTCTGGCAATTGGCATTTCAGACAGAGAAACACAGCAACAGAGCCTGACCAGCTTTCCCCAATCTCTGAGAGCTTGCCTTTCCGCACCCTTCATGTTGGGATAAAGAGCACATTGTCAGCAAACCTAAGAACTGGTGTAACCCACACCATCATTCTCTTAAAATTGTTTCTGTAAATAAGGACTTGTAAAATCACATGTAGCTATGGATAAACTGCCTGTTTCCTTAAGGGATTCTAGGAACTAACCTCAAATGAAGCAGACTCCAGCTTCCAGGCATTTTAGCTCCAGGACATTTGCTTGCCTTTGACAGTAAAACCAGGATGACAAAAACCAGACCAACTGTTGATTGGCTCTGAGATGGTTACTGGAGCACACTGCACTGAGTCACACATACCACCTTCAACAGGGAGCCAGCAACCCCCTTCCTCCCACCAGTTTCCTTTGTTCTTCCTACCCCTTCCAGGCTCATAAAAACCCCTGCCTGCACTGACATGTTAAGATGGTCTTTGTGAAATTAGTCTTCCCTCTTCTCAGGCTGCTGGCTCTGAAATAAATGGATTTCCCTTGCACCAATCCTTGCCTCTTGATAACTGGCTTTTGCGCAAAGGACCTTAATAGTCACTTCTCCAAAGAGGACATACAGATGGCCCATAGACATATGAAAAGATGCTCAATATCACAACATCAGACAAAGGCAAATTAAAACAACAATGAGATATGACCTCACATCTGTCAGAATGGCTATCATCAATAAGTCAGCAAACAACAAGTGCTGGCAAGGATATGGATAAAGGGGAACCCTTCTGCACTGTTGGTGGAAATGCAGATTGGGGCAGCCACTGTGGAAAACAGTACATATTTTCCTCAGAAAATTATACATGGAACTGCCTTATGACCCAGTAATTCCACTTCTGGAAATATATCCAAAGAAACCCAAAACCCTAATTGAAAATTATATATGTACCCCTATGTTCATTGCAGCATTATTTACAATCACCAAGATTTGAAAGCAACCCAAGTGCTTTCAGTAGACAAGTAGATAAAAAAGCTGTGGTACATTTACACAATGGAATACTACCGAGCTCTAAAAAAGAAGAAAATCTTACCTTTTGCAACAGCATGGATGGACCTGGAGAGTATTATGTTAACTGAAATAAGCCAGTCAGAGAAAGACAAATACCACATGATTTCACTTATATGTGGAATCTAATGAATAAAATAAACAAACAAAATAGAAACAGACTCATAGATACAGAGAACAGACTAACAGCTATTGGGGGGGTGCTCAGTGAAATAGGTGAAGGAATTAAGCAAAAAACCCTCATAGACACAGAAATCAGTATGGTAATTAACAGAGGGAAAGGGGATGAGGGGGGTACAGGAGGGTAAAGGAAGGATAAGTGGTAAATTTGGGTGGTGAACACATAATACAATAAACAGATAGAATTGTAACCTTGAAACCTAAATAATTTTTTTAACCAATGCAACTCCAGTAAGCTCAATAAAAATTTAAAAAGCATCTGTTTTCCACATAGCCTTGCCAACATTAGGTACTCTAATTTATACTAATTGATTGCTTCATAGACAGAAATTGTTTGGGGGGGTAATTTTATTTTGTATTGCTTTCTAATGAAGTTGAACAAATTTTATGTTTATTTTTCACTTTTACTTTTATTTTTTCAATTATACCTTTACCCATTTCTAACTGTTGTGTTTTTCTTTTTTTACTGATTTCCAAGATATCTGTGAATTAATGATGTTAAATTTTGTTTTATAAGTTTTACAAATGTTTCTCCAAGTTTATAGTTTCATTCTGAAGAAAATATCTAGAATCTGTGCTTATTGTATATAAACATGGCAATAATTTTTTAAAAGATTTTATTTATTTATTTTTTAGAGAGAGGAGAAGGGGAGGAGAAAGAGAGGGAGAGAAACATCAGTGTGTGGTTGCCTCTCACAAATCCCCCACGGAGGACCTGGCCTGCAACCCAGGTATGTGCCCTGACTGGAAATTGAGCCAGTGATCCTTTGGTTTGCAGCCTGTGCTCAATCCACTGGGCTACACCAGCCAGGCACATGACAATAATTTTTATATATAAAAATTTGAGAAAAAACATGTTAGCATTTGTTAATCCTAAGTTGTAAGTAGATGAGTAATCATTTTATTCTTCATATTTTAATTTTTTAAACTTCTAAAAATAAAAGAAATACATATAAAGAATGTAATAGCTTGGACATAGACATACATAACTTATTCACTCATTTTTTTATTGGTTGGCATTTAGGTTGTTTTCTATTTGGAGTTTTTATAAACATCACTATAGTAATTATCTATACACATTACAAATTCTTCATATCTTGGTTAAGTTTTGAAATGATTCCCCCATTCTTCCTACAAAATTAATCATTTAATCTATTTTAACAGAGAGCTGTGGGAAAAGCATTGCTTAAAAGCAATTTTTCTTATCAAGGAAATTATATCAAAATATATTTTATGATTTAACATTCACTCAATCCATTCTGAAAAAAGAGATATATGGTAATATAAGTTTGACAAGATTTATTACACTTTTGGGGATTGACAAAGTTCCTTAGCATATTGTAAGTCCTGATAAGTACTACAGTAAAGGTAAGGTTCTATGATCTGCACAAAATAAAATAAGTTCAGTCAAATAGGTTCAGAGGGCTACTACATTCTCCTTTTGGAGAGTCACAAAACTAATTTGCATAGTAAAAGTCTTGAGAATCCCTATGGTAAAGACAACTCTCTAATTTTGCTAATACAGGGTTCCCTAAATTTATTTCAGCAGAGAACTTCATTCCCCTTTAACATCTGTTAATAAGTCAAAATACTAGTGCTTCATAGAATATTCATAGTAAAATGCAAAAATAAAAAAAATGCGAGAGGTATATGCCATGGGTAACTGAAATCCAAATGCTACCATACCAGTTGTCTCACTTAAATATCAAACATTTCATCAGTGCTATGGATAAAAGGACATTTAATTCTTCTCTATTTTTAACCTTTGATTGTAAGTGAAGTACTGGTAAATAGTTGAAGTTATGTTTTTAAATGTAGTGCCACAGTGGTAAGAGCATGCTCTGAGGTCAGACAGACCCGGTTTGCAATTTCAGTTTATCCATTGACTAGCTGGAAAGATGATTTAACATCTCTGGACTACAGTTTTCTTATAAGTAAAATGGGAATAATAACATTCACCTCACAGAGTTGCTGCAAGGATTAAATGAGATAATATACATCAAATACAACAGCAAAGTAGCTGGCAAATACAAGATCTTATACAGTAACTATACTGGCACACAGCAGAGTTTTATAAGGGAAAAAAGTGAAGACCCAAGAGCCCATAAACAGATTGATAGGCTTCTGAATAATTGCTAGCTTTTTCACGGGAATAAAACTGAAAGCTTATCAGATTAGAGCTTTGAACTCACTGGTATTTCTATCACTAAAAAAAAATCTCCATTTAATACTGAATTACACTGGATTATTTCCTTGTGAATGTTGCAAAGAGAAGGCTCTTTAGCTTTTCACTAGACAAAAGACGATCTCATGTATAATGCTGCCTGACACTGCTGAACAAATTAGTGGCATTTTGGGAGAATTAGAGTATAAAGATGGTGCTTTTGCCTGTGAGTGGGTAAGAGTAGATTGTTAGCTGACATAATGGACTCAGGCAGAAAGAGCCTGGAATCTAACGAACAAAATAACCTGATGAACAAAATAGAGACAGAGGCATGGATTCATGGAACAGTTGTCAGAAGGGAGATAGTGAGGGGGGACTGGATGAAAGAAGGTGAAAAGATTAGTCAAAGAACATATGCATGATCTATAGACAAAGACAACAGGGTAGTGATGGCCACAGGAAAGGTGGAGGCAGGCAGGGGGGTGGGGATAGGGACATCTGTAATAGTGTCAACAATAAAAATAGAGTAAAAAAAAAAGAACCTATTTGTAATGTATATCATTTTAAAGGCCTAAAATGTACCAGAACAAGATTTGTAATTCATAGTATAAAAGCACATAACTTGAATGGGCTGTTTGGCAGTTTCTGGACATCCTGTAGATCTTTTTGTCCAAGTGACAAATGTGAGTTAACAGATAATCAAGATATCTTTTTTCAGTACATAATAGGGAAATTATGTCTAGAACTCCTACATATGTGAATAATACAAGAGTGATGAATTTAACATCTTGTTTACCAAGGTGAAAACTTATTCTTTTCCTAGTAACCTCCCAAAGCTGCCTCTTAGCACTCCAGGTTGCATTCTGTGTGCCTCCCTTAGAATACTGACCTGTCTTAGAGATGCAGGAAATGTGAAAACTGCTACGTTTCTGTTTCCACTGCAAGAGATGATGAACCTTCTGGATAATCTGCAAGGTTGAAAAGTAGAGGTGATCACTCATCAGAATGGCTATCATTCAACAAACAAGTGCTGGTGAGGCTATGGAGAAAAGGGAACCCTAGTGCAGTGTTGGTGGGAATGCAGACTGGTGCAGCCACTGTGAAAAACAGTATGGCATTTTCTCAGAAAACTAAAAATGGAACTGCATTTTGACCCAGTGATTCTGCTGCTGGGAATATACCCTAAGAACCCTAAAACACTAATCCAAAAGAACCTATGCACCCCAATGTTCATAGCAGCACAGTTTACAATAGCCAAGTGCTAGAAACAGCCTAAGTGCCCATCAGTAAACGAGTGGATCAAAAAACTGTGGTACATTTACACAATGGAATTCTATGCAGCAGAAAGAAAGAAGGAGCTCCTACCCTTTGGGGCAGCATGGATGGAACTGGAAAGCATTATGCTAAGTAAAATAAACCAGGCAATGAAAGACATACCATATGATCTCACCTATAAGCAGAAAATAATCAACAAAACAAATAAGTGAGCAAAATAGAACCAGAGACATGAAACATGGAACAGACTGACAGTAACCAGAGTGGATGGGGAAGTGAGAAAATGGTAGAAAGAAAGGGAAGAGACTAGTTATACAGCATGTATGAATGACCCAGAAACATGGACGAGAGTTGAAAACTGACTGTGGGAATGGGGGATAGGCTGTATGGAGGAGGGCAAAAGGGGAAAAATTGGGACAACTGTAATATAATAACAATAAAAATTAAAAACATAAAAAAACAGAAATAGGAAAAATGTGAAGGTGATCAAATGTCCTTTTCTCTTGTATGGGTGGGTATTTATTCACTAGAATATTTCCTTCTTTTCCAATCTCTAGAGGCAGCAGACATCTGCAAAATCTCTAAAGACTGGTGTGTTATACTGAAGCATTTGTAACCAACCCAGACATTCACATTCCAAGAGTAGTCAGCCTGCTATACTATGAACTAAGATTATTTTACTTATCAGTATTATCTGATCTATAATACTGCCTGGTATTTGACAGCTCAACATCATATGGTTTTTAATGGAATGTTTTGGGTCTTGCTACTCACAAAATTACCCTGTCTTGCTGTTATTCTACTGGACATAATTGAGGTAGCTCTTATAGGACTTTGTGTTTGTGTGGGTTTTTAAAAAGATTTTATTTATTTATTTTTTAGAGAGAGGGGAAGACAAGAATAAACAAAGGGAGAGAGACATCGATATACAAGAAAAACATTGATCGGTTGCCTCTCGATTACCCACACATGGGAACCTGGTCTGCAACCCAGACATGTGAATTGAACTAGCGACCTTTCAGCTCACAGGCTGGCACTCAATCCACTGAGCACACCAGCCAGGGCTGTTGGTGTGTTTTTAAAAATGAATGAGGTATGTAGAAAATAAGAGGCTCTGAAATTAACAGCCAATATTATTTGTAGTATAAATGTTTTGTTTCTAACCTCCAGCATTTTGGGTCAGCAAAGTGTGCTCAATCAGCTTACTTAATGTGCAGATAGTCACTTTCTTTATACTCCCTGCATAAAATGTACTTGGCCCTTTGAGGTTAAAAAAAAGTTGACAGTGGTTGACCCTTATGATACAGGGTACAGCCAAGGGGGGGCCCCCCAAAAAAAGATTTGGAATGGTGTCCAGAATTCAAAGTGTATAGAAATATTGGAGAGACATATAAGATGTCCTCACCCCCCCCCCCCCAGGGGGAAGGGATGAATGGAGCCAGGCCATTGAGAGCTATTTTGCATAGCAACAGTTTTGGAGCTACCTCTGGAGGAATGGTTATTTAACATATCTATAACCTTTAACTGGTTTCATAGATATGTTAAATAGCAGTGGCCAAGTTTGGAGCCAGGCAGAAGGGAGAAGGTAGTGAGCAGGGACTCAAGATGGGATCTATGAGCTGTTCTCCTGAGGGAGAAGGGTTTGAGACTCAGAATGTAACTAAAGGCTGCTCTCCGGAGTGAGTGGACTGGGACTCAGGAGGATGTAACTAAAGTCTGGACTCCTGAGTGAGAAGGGCTTAGGGACTGAGGATGGAACTAGGGGACTCAAGATGGGAACTAAGGGCTGCACTCCTGAGTGAGAAGGGTTTGAGACTCAGAATGTAACTAAAGGCTGCTCTCCGGAGTGAGTGGACTGGGACTCAGGAGGATGTAACTAAAGTCTGGACTCCTGAGTGAGATGGAGCTAGAAGGGACTGAGGATGTAACTAGGGGGACTCAGGAGGATGTAATCAAGGTCTGCACTCCTGAGTGAGAAGGTAGGACTGGGACTCAGGAGAATGTAACTAAGGCCTGCTCTCCTGAGTGAGAAAGGCTTGGACTCAGGAGGATGTAACTAAAGTCTGCACTCCTGAGTGAGAAGGTAGTGAAGGGGGACTCAAGATGGAACAGAAGGGACTCGAGATGGTAATGAGGGGCTGCTCTCTGGAGTGAGAAGGGCTTGGACTCAGGAGGATGTAACTAAAGGCTGCGCTCCTGAGTGAGAAGGCCTGGGAGAGAGAGCCACGCGGTTTCAGCAGAGTGAGGACCCCCTGTTGGTGAGGTGAAAGAGGGAGCCACGTGGTTTTGGCAGAGTGTGGACCCCCTCTTTCCCAGGTGAAAGGGAAGAACCCAGGCAGCTTTGCCAGAATGGAGATCCCTGCAGCCAGGTGAAGAAGACAGCCACATGCTTTTGGTGGAGTGCGGACTCCTGCAGCTTTGGTAGAAGAGGCCCACGCGGCTTTGGGGTGCCCCCTTTGGCCGCGGGGCCTGAAAAGCAACAGTGACTTTGACTGGAACTGGGTACAAAGGACTCTTGCCAGTGGACCATGAGAGGGTACCACAGTACTTTGGATTAACTCGAGATCCTGCACAGTGACACAGCTGACGGTGCCAGCGGCCTGCAACACAGACGTGTGCTCTTTTCCTGATTTACGGTACCCGGAGTTGGGACAGAGGGAGAAGGGAGCGCTGTGTGGGTGTAGGTGTACAACCTAAAGGACTTTGATATTTTAGTGGTGGCATTAGGCCTGAATAGCATTAAATAAACATTTTGTTTCCTTTTCACAAATCTCTGGCTTTAAGAGATGTGTTTCCAATTGGCGGCGGACAGAAGGGCCCAGTAGATTTTAGTATTTTGGTTTTTGGGAGGGGCCCCTGTTGTACAGCAGTTTTGGGCATCCCTAGGTGGGCCAAATATTGTATTGCCCCTCCCACGGACCTCCTCTTGTTCGGTAACAGTTTTTGGCGACTCCGCCGGGACGATAATTGTCCGTGGCAGACCGACCCCCTCAGGTGCGAGAGAGTGAGGCTTTGGAATTTTCCCAGTCTCTGAGGATTTCTCTGTGCTCTTGAGGGCATCGGCCGCCTAGTCACGCCTGGAAAGGTGAAAAGGAAACAAAAGAGGGAAGGGAGCAAAGACGTGAAAGTGTTTTGGGTTGAAAACTTGGTTTCTGACTGCTCTTTTGCAATAATGGAGCTAGAATTGTGGGCGGTAGCAGGGGAAATACCTGGTCTTTACGCCACCTGTATTCTTTTTGCTCTGAGCCTTTGTTTTCTTTGTTGGAACTGTATGAGTAGTTCTACAGAGAAGCGTGTAATGGTTCAGAAGGAGAAAGGGGTCTTAGAACCCCTTCCTGATAGTAGATCACAGGAGGAGAAAGATGATGAGGAAAGAAACCTCATTAATTCTCTGAACCCAGGGAATGAGGGACCCCAGACAGCAGTAACTCCTGTGGTGACACTGCTTTCTGGGGAGGTGAGGCCCACTGTAGCTTCTCCTGCCCTGCAAGTGGGAGAAGTCTCCACCATGGATTCGCAGCCTCTGCAAGTGGGCCCTGCTCACCCGCTGCAGCAGGGGTTGCCAGGAGCCACTTTGGCTCCAGAAAATGGAGCTGCAGAACCCCCACCTTTACAGGTGGGTGGAGCCTGCTCTCCACCTGCATTGGTGACTGCAGCCTCAGTGCACCACCCCCACTGGGTAGAGGGTGGCTTTGTGGTGTCCCCTTGCCCGCTGGTGGAAGGGGCCTTGGGGGCTTCCGGGGCTCCTGAAACCGGAGTCCTGGAACCTTCCCAGGTGGGTGGAACCAGAGTCGGGGTGCTGCCATTTTGGGTAAAATGGATGAGCCACGTGAGTGCCCCACCATGGAGGACAGAGCATGCATGGGCATCACCATCTTGGATGACCCTGCATGCATGGGTGCTGCCATGCTGGATGACTCCACGTGCATGGGCACCGCCATGTTGGAACTGGATAAGGCTTCTCTTCTGATTATGGGCTGTATGCTGCTGCTGTGTGAGCACTGCAGCTGTCAGGTTCTCTGTGTAACTGGTTCTGATAGTAATGGCTCTGGTTTTGAAGGTCATGAACTGAGGTCCAAGGGTGACCATCTGCTTTATAAGGTATTTGCAAGGTCTAAGTTTCAGAAAGGTGCAAAATGTCCCTGTGAATCTAGGGACTTTTAGTGGAAGGTACCTGTAGTGCTATAGACTTTTGGCTGCCACATACTGAGTTTAAGTACTGAGTTTAAGTATAGTCCTTCCCAGTGTGGGAAAGGGACCAAGATTAAAAGAGAGTGATGGTTAAATCTAGATGAGTAGAAATATGTATAAAGAATATGAAAGTTTTAAACCTGGAATAAAGGAAACCTCAACTACTTGTTTCCTGGTTTCATGGGAAAAGCAAGTTTCTCACATGTAGTTCTGTTTCTGATCAGAAACCTGTATTGTAAGACCTAGTGAAGGTCACCTGTAACCGGTTGGGGAGAATGCTTTTGCCACCCGGGACCTAGGAAGGGTCATTTGGGGCTGATGAGTGTATCAGCCTGAGGCAAAGAGCATGTCTCTGCCAAGAGACCGGGCCTGAAAGAGCATGTCTCCGTACCTGAAGACCTGTTTAAGGTCACCTGTAGCCGGTTGGGGAGAATGCTTTTGCCACCCGGGACCCAAGAAGGGTCATTTGGGGCTGATAAGTGTTTCAGCCTGAGGCAAAGCA